TCCTTCCATTTGCACATACGCATTCATGTATGACAGCATTTCCTGAAATCTAGGAATGGCTTATATTTTTATTAAGATATCTCCCTTCAAAATTTAAGATTTAAAACTTCTGCTTGTCATGCTTATGGTCAGTTTATGAATATTACAAAAGTAAGCAAGTCAAACAACTTGTCAAGCCAATCTCAGACAGTGATTTGCTTGCAAACCAGGTAAGGATCAATACATTATATGAGTCAGTACAGTGTTCTGGGGTGGGTGTCCCTCTCTTCTTCCAAGTAACAAATGTTAGGATGAAAGAAAATAACTTCCAAGCTGTGCCAGGGAAGGATTCGATTGGATATTAGCAAATAATTGTTCACTGAAAAAGTTGTCAAGCGTTGGAAGAGATTGCTCAGGTCAGTGGCAGAGTCACCATCCCTGGAGATAATAAGACTTGTAGATGTGGTGCTTGGTGACGTGGTTTAGTCGTGGACTTGGCAATGCTGGTGTAATGGCTAGACTCGATCTGAAGGGTCTTTTCCAACCTAAAAAAATCCACAGTTCTATGATTTTAAGTTTTTTGTATTAAATTTCTTTGGAAGGGCATGTACTAGATGAAGAGTACTTCACTTGTTCTCAGAATAGTGGTCCTAAGTGGTTGAACAAAGTTTGTACTTTTAACAGGGACTAGTAGAGCTACAGACACCTTTTAAAATCAGTGAGGAATTTCTCCCCTCGGATATGTATCTTAGTTTCTGGGTGAACATTTTTCTTCTCATTTTGCATCATGAAAGGTTCCCCATGACTGAACAGGTTTATAAGCCAAATGAGCTGGTATTTCTCTGGGCATGCATTTGAACCACTTGGTTAATATGTCCTTTTAGGGTTAGGTTGATTTCCCCCAAGGCAGGTTGGCAGAGATTTGAAGAGTTCTTCACTGCTCCATCAAGCTTGTGCCATATCAAACTTTCTGAGGTCATTTGGATGTATCTCATGTGTTTCCCTATACCAGAGCCTTTTGAAGGGGCTCTCAGTCTCTTTTGCTTCTTGGCTGAGACATGTATTCAGTTTTGCTGAAGAAAAAATAAATTCTGTCCTTGAAGCATCTAGGTTTGTTACTGAGATTTTGTGTGGACAATAGCTAGCTCCTGTACACAGAAAGCCAGCTGCTGCAATTTAATGGTTATAGGCAGATTAATGCTTAGCAAAGTCAAATTTCAAAAAGGAAAACCATCCCTCTCCCAGTAAGCTTAGAGACAGACCAGATGAGGAAAATGTAATTAAATGTATTCATTGTAATATCCCATAAATATTTTCTCACACATGACAATGGAGAAGGGAAATGCTGATTCTTCACACTTCAAAAAATAAAAGATGATCCTTTGCCACAAGCAGTGATGCTTAGAAATATTTGCCAATCACTGTGTAACTGTTTCAGATGAAGAAAGATATTAAAAGCCAAAACTTGAGGAGAGTAACATTATATTGTATACTGGATTAAATATTTCTGTAAAATGAAGTACTGTTCAGGTGTCAGTATTTCTAAAAATATTTAATTTCCTTTCATTTTTTAGAGGTTTGGAATCAATTTTGAAGGAGGTCTGAGAATGCATTGTGTATAGGGAGAAAGCAAATACTTTTCATTTGTGTAAGAGAAGGTTAAATTACTTGATAACAGAAAATACCTCGAATAAAAAAAAGTTACTTTTTACATTGCTTATAATGTTAATACAGCAGAAGAATGACAAAAGAAAATACACTGCCTGGGTGCTGAAGCAAAACCTATTCAAATAGGAAAATGTGAATATATTTAATACCTGATATTATTAGATACTGGATTAAGAAGAAGCTATGTTGGCTGTGTTTCACTTTTATACGAAGGCTGCGTACTTTTCACAAATAGATCAGTTCTTCAATCCTTGCTATACTAGTGATCAACTGAGATAATCAGAACAGTTCCTTTTGCAGAGAAAACAAACTAATTTCTTTGTCACTTGGGCACTGTCAGCTACTGAAGTACTCACACAGGCATTACCATACTGTTCTATAGTTCAAGACTCTAAATGTACTACGTGAATTCCAGTAAGGCTTCAGAAATGCATGGTGCATCCAGCAGGGCTTTTTGTGTTGCACAGATTATTTTATATAACCTATGAAATTATATTGTCATTTTACAGGAGGGTTGCTTGATGTGCTGAACATCGTCTCTGTGTGAACAGGGATGAACAGTGCACTCTTGAGAACGTGAATGTTTTAAAGTCATAAAACTGTGGGTTTTTTCTGTTGATATGCTTTACCTTTCCCTTTAAATATATTGTTTCTTGCTTTTCATAATTTTCCTTATAAAAGGAGAAAGTAAACATGAACATATTTTAAAAAGGGCTTTAGGAAGTACAGAGAGGAATTTTCCATATGAGCAACTTAATGGTTTCAATTTGCATGCAGCAGTAAAAAATAGAAGCTCAGTAACTGATTTCTGTATTGCAGGTTAGGAAAACATTGCACAATTAATTTCACGTAAGATTTGCAAAAATATCTGGTTTAATCAGGATATGTTTGGGACTGTTAAACAGATTCAGAATGCTAAGGTATGCCATATACTTAAGTGACTACAGCAGTTAATAACTTCGAAAACTATGAGTTCCATTTCAAAAACATTTATCAACTACATTACTTTTTTTCCCCCATAAGTGGTCCTGTCTTGTCTGCTATGCTTTCTCTGAAATATTTTTATCAGGATAGAGAGTATGTTCTGTGTTGTTGAGAAGAATATCTTTTCATTCCTTTTATCTTAAGTATCCAAGGCTTTAAGAAATTTGATTTATAGTAGGAACATCCATTAACTGTTGAGTAAGGATGGTTGTCTTAAATAATACAGGCTTGTAGATTGTTTAGCTAGAATGACCTTTCCAGCAATACACATCTATATATTGCCTGGTGAATATGCCAGACAGTAATTTAAGGCTGTGGGGGGAAGAGAGAGCTGTCCTTTCTTCCAATATATACTGAGCAATGCAAAAGTCTTCAGAAATAATAATTCTTAAATTTGTATGTTAAGATTCCCCAGTTCTGGTTACTTAAAAATTTCTGCCCATCTAAAATTAATGGTAAATTTACAGCCTTATAACCAACATGTAAATGTTTAAATTCATTTACATACTTGAAAATTCAAAGTTTAATAACCTGCAAAATAAACAAAACAGAATCATGCTTCTACAACTTGTTCATTGATCTAAGTTTTACCCCATAAAGTCATTGACTTCTTGAGATACTAAAATTATTCTCATGTACAGCATAGTTACAGGCATTAGAATATATGGTTGTTCTTTCATTATGTTAATTCAAAATAATAACTTGTCTGTATAAGGTAGGCTAATCAGTAGATTTCTTTCTCATTTTAACAGATGTGCTCTTGAATTATTTTGGTTCTTGAAGGTCATTTTTTGAAGGCTCAGAACTGAAAGAGTACAATTTTATTAGATGTTAGGAAGAGATTTACTGTGAGACACTGGCACGGGTTGCCCAGAGAAGTTGTCTGAGCCCTGGAAGCATTCAAGCCAAGGCTGGATGGAGCATTGAGCAGCCTGTTCTAACAGGGGTGCCTATCCTGGCAGGGAAGTTGGAACTAAATGATCTTTAGGATCCTTTCCAACCCAAACCATTCTATAATTGCGTCACTTTTGTGATTAATTTCTTATATCCGTTTTTTAGCTCTCATGTTTTTATGCCATCTCCACTCTTTACTTTTTCCTAGGAAAAAAGTGATATTTTTATCAAGGCAATTTTAAGATATATTGGTGTGTTTTTGTTTTTTTTTTATCCTGTAATGTTTTCTAAAAACATATCCTTAAATGTAAAAATATTTTTCCTGTTGCAACAATGTTCTGTATGCATGCTAAAGCTCTGTAAACATAAAGGTGACATTATTTAAAAGCATAAATTAATGTTCAGTGATCAAAACTGGATAATCTGAAAAGCACTGGTTTGTTTTGGATAAAGGGATGGAATATAAAGAAAAAGTTTCATGGGTTGAGACATTTTCTGAGTTGCATGTGTAGGAAGGATAAATTGCAATTATGGTGTAGCAGGTGTATCCTCTGTATCAAGCTTTAATTTCTTAAGCCTAATTTTAATAGTGCTGGTTTATAGGTAATGTGTTCTACTTTATTCTTTGAACTTGTAATGCTTTTTTGCAGTAATCCAAAAGATGTCCTTAAAATTAAGTGATCCAAATTTTTTTTCCTCTTTTTTTGAAGATGTTAGAGATTTGTGATAAAGGCATGCTAATTATCACCAGAATTATGTCAGTTTTCCTACTTGTGCTTTTGTAAACACACATGCACTCCATAATTTATTATAAAATTCAGTTGTGTCATTCTGACACCAGTGAAAAGTGGCCTGTTTCTTTTTAAGTGAAGAAAATTAATAGGTAGTGAAATGATAGAAATTTTTGTTTTAGCTTTAGAAACATCTCTGCTATAGGATTATTATTTTTGCAAGCATGCAAGAACCTCAAACTAGCAGTTTGTTATGCATCAGAAGCTTTAAATGTTGCATAGTGAGATATGCAACAACTGAAACTAATGAGATTAATTGATCTTGACTGATAGAATTTCAGAAAGCCTATACTTCTGATATTCATTAATGTTTAGGTCTAATTGAAATCAAGTGTCTATAAAAATGCTGGTGTCAAATAGAACAGGTGTTTAAGTTTCCCTTGGGTTACAGTATACCATGAGAACGTGATAGATGAAAAGCTTGTTTTCTATTCATATAGATTTCTCCACAGATGCATTACTTGATTAGGTATAGAAGTACTATGCCCCATGGTTATTGGTTCCCCACAGGAATTACATCCTATGGCATACTCTCCTAATTCAGCCACATCCAAGGAGAATAGCAGGAAGCCGAGCCCTGCAGAGCTACCCAGCCGTAGCTAGGTCTCTTCTTTCTGTTCAGTGTTTGCTGTTGCAGTTTACTGTGTGTGCTTTCCTTTCAAATAATTTCTTTCTCTTTTCTAGTTTGAGGGCTGCAAGAAAGCCTTTTCCAGACTAGAAAATCTCAAGATTCACTTAAGGAGCCATACGGGTGAGAAGCCGTACCTTTGCCAGCATCCTGGCTGCCAGAAGGCGTTCAGCAACTCCAGCGACCGTGCCAAGCACCAGAGGACACACTTGGACACTGTAAGGACACAGAAGCCCCACTGCAGCCCTCTGAGCCGTAGAGCATCTGCTCCTTCCCTCCAGCCTGGGGGCAGCAGGTGGCCCATAACCTTAGAGGCAGGAGGGTGGACAGTCTGGTGGGGCTGTTGGAGGTGCCTCAGAGGTGACCCAGCCATCTAAGCATGCAAGAAGATGGAACCCAGGCTGGTTGATAAAAAGACCACGGGTTCCATGGTCTTTGCTGCAGGTAGAAGCAGTAGCTTTCTCCCACTTAGCTGATCTTTAGGGAAACTGAAGCCATCTGCAATATAAGGTGCTTTTCTGTGGTGAAAAGTTAAGGGTGGGGCATGTACCAGAAAGTCAAGAGAGATAGAATTATTTCGTAAATTTAAAAGTTTTTGTGCCAACAGATTGTCCCTTGTAAATTTGAGTGACGGCAGAGATTTGTTTTAAAACCTCTGTTTCAGAAAAGAAATTTTGTGTTTTCTCAGAGACAGTTTCCAAAGGTCTGAAGTCCAGAAATACGATTAAAACAATGCTATTTGAGTTAAATGGTTGTTTAAAAAAGTAAATTATCCATTTTGAATAGTCAAAACTATGGCTGGCAAGTTAATATTTTGTACTAGGTGTTTTCAGAAATTCTTTATAGAACAGAAGTGAATTCATTGCAGAACAGCTACTTCCAGGAAACAGTTGGGCCTAATGTTCATTTAATACTTAGTATTGTGAACCTACAAGTCTTCAGGCAAGACAGACAGCTTAGAACAGGCAATATGAGATATTTATATGAGTTAGATTTATTGGGCATTCTTTTAAGAAAACTATAAAGATATTACAGGGAATTTTATAGGTATTTTTCTAAAATGAAGTATTATTAGAAAATGCGAGCTGAAGGAGTTGGCCAGTACTTCATATTAAAATGGGGGTTTTTTTGTGTAATACTTTTGAAACTTCAGTATTCAGTGCTTGCTTGGGGTTTTGCTTGCCTTCTTTGTAATATAGAAAAACTAACACTTTTTCTTGTTCTCTTTTTCTGAAGCGGATCCTTCTATAATCCTAAACAGTCTTTCCGGGCCTTTACTGCGGTTTCTTTACCTGATTCACTAAAGACTGTAATTTCTGATTAAGTCAAAGATTGCTCTGAGGGTGGAAAAATTGTAAGTATATCTAGCAATATTCATTGTACTACTAAGAAAAGAAAGGTAATCATGAAAGGTGCTGTAATGAAAACTTTCCTTTTGTTTGTCTTCCTTTAAAGCTTTACTTCATCTTTTCCTTTTCTAACAGATTGTGAGGCTTTCTGCATGTTATAATGTACAATGTTTTTGTTCTGTAGTACTGTGGTTTGTAGCATCCCAAGGCTCAAAAAGTATTCTCTTGAGTTAAAATAATCTGTGATATAGCAGTATCTTTATCATTTTTTCCTTTTTTTTATTTAGAAACCTTATGCATGTGAGATTCCAGGATGTACTAAGCGATACACAGATCCAAGTTCCCTCAGAAAACATGTGAAAGCCCATTCTTCCAAAGATCAACAAGTCAGGAAAAAGGTGATTTTTCTGCTGTCTTGACCAGTGTAAAGTTTATGTGAAGAAATCAGTTATAATATTAGATGTTTCAATGCATCTTCAAGTACTTGGGTTGATCTCAGGCTTTAAATGATAAAAAAGAGCAAATAGATTGATGTGGTTTGTATGTAGATAATTTCATCTCTGACTTAATGGTTTAATGCTTTATGTTTTCTGCTATAGTTGTTAATCACTTAACTAACACAACAAGGCAAGTAAAAACAATTTTTGCAAACAATAATTCTTGGTTTCAAGTTCTGCCACTTGGTAAATACACAGTATTACAAAATACTGGTCAGTCTCAGATGGAAGGATGGATTTTGAGGGCAGTATGTGGGACTAAGCTCTAAATTGTATTTCATTATTCCAGATATTTCCAATACTACCAAGATACTTCACAATGCTGATTCCCTGTGGATGTCAAGTCCATGAGTCATCAACTGTTTATGTGTTTAAGTGCATTTCTAAAGAGCTGAGTTGCTACCTAAGGAATTATTTTTGAGCATTTTCATCATACCTCCTATTAATCTCTGGTATAATGTTTACAAGGTACAACGTAGGTAGTTACTGGATCTTTGTAAAGTTATAATTACTAACTAACATTATGCTTTGGCATTTGAAATATTTCCTGACAGTAATAATTATGAAAAATAAGAACAACCAACCTTTTAATGAAGAATTATTTATTTGTGGATTTAATTAAAAGTGGAAATTGGCTTATGCCAAAAAAGTAATTATGAAAATGTGAATTCATCAAAAGCGACCATAAAAATAACCATAAAAATTCCATGGTGATAAGGGCGCAGTGGACTAATACTTCAAGCCATAGGGATCTTTTCTGTTGAAAAGAATGAAACCCTTTGCTGTCACACCCTGTTAGTCATGGATTCCTTTAATATATCGTGCCTGACTGGTTTTAATCCTCTCTTTAACCTCCCCCTGCATACCAAGTGACAGGATTGTGTCATCTTAAGTTGCTGACTCTCCAAGACAGTACCTGTAAATGTATCTTTGATGTTGCCTAGATTTTAAATAGCAGCATGAAGTATATTTGTAAGAGTGGGATCTTATGTGCTGTGCAGATGTTTACACTGAGTCTTCACCCCGGATTCTGTAGATGTTTCTTCAAAGATTTGACTCTTTCCTTGGCTCTCTAAGATGGGATTATGCAATGGGATATAGGTAAATTTCCATCCCTGAATTATTTTAAGCAACTTCTGTTGATGTGTGTCTATGACTTACCATACAAGGCAAAATTCTTTTTCTGGAAATCTGTAATGCAGCCACTGTTCCCCTTCACTTCCCAACCGTTAGCTATCCACTAAATATATTTAACTGGGAATCTCACCAGGTAATGGCATGAAATCCAATATACCACGAAGATCCCAGCACAAATGGATTTATTAAAAGTAATTTATTGGGTAGTACAATAAAATTTCATTTACTCTTCAAAGGAAAGCAGAGCCATGTGAGAGTAAAGATAGTCATGTCCGCTTTAATCTTCTTTGTGTATTTTAAAAAATTATTCATAAAAATTAGGGCAAACATCTACACAAATACCATGCAAATATCTGGGAATAGATGCTGAAAATGTTTAGTAAAACATTTTAGGTATAATCTCTATGCATCATAATATTCTGTCATTTTAAAATATTTTGGTGGGGTAAAAAGCAGTGTTTGCTATAATATTTTTGAAAGGAAAAATTGCTGACTCTGCCAGGATTTCATCTTTTCATTGGGAAGATAGATGAGATTTCATCTAAGGCAGGAAGTCACTGAAAGAAAGCTAGACAGTTCCCAAAATGAGAGATTAAAGTGATGCTGAGAGGAATGTTAATGTACAACATGCCCCTCAACCACAATTACTTTTGAAATGTGTTCTCTTTTTAATCTTGTTCTCATTTCAGCTTTGAAAGGACAACAATTTACAAGACTTTTTTGTAAGCTGGCTAGACAAGTAAGCCTATTTTCAGTGGCTATACCTGTTTGATTTCAGTAAAGCACAAATGTCTTTCACCTTTGAACTGAAAATGAAGAATCCATAGCTCTTTTAGTTTGTAAGTCTTTTTATTGAAGGTAATGAAAATGAAGTTATGGAACATTGTGATACCACAGCAGCTGGATAGAAGCTTCCTAACGTGGTTTCGAGTATTAGAGAGCAGGCATCCTTTACTGCAGTTGCTGGACACTTGGAGGATCCTGTCTCCAACTGAATGCCTGAGTGTCGGGTAAACAGGGTGTTTATCATACAGAAATGATCACATATTCATTAGCTTTCCCCCCTTACTGGATGTATATGTTTTACTTTATTTTACATAGTCTCATCTCTTATCAGAAGTCCTCATAGGTTCCTTGGGGTCTGTCTTCAATTCCCATGTCCTCTTGGACATGAGACATGGGTTGTTCCTCAGCCCCCATTTTTGACTTAGTGCAATATAATTTTTTGCATAACTTCAGCTTTGTTAGCCTTGCAGAGCTGAGCTGGCATCCTGCTTGTGTTTTGCTTGGTTTCTATTTGTGAAGTTGCATCCTTTATCTATTTCTCCAAGGCTGTGTTTTCTGTTCCTCTGTCCTTGATAAGAGTAAAATGTTATTCTGTTCTACGCAAATCATTAGAATAATTTTACTCATTATCTTGTCCATATTGTATCATTAACAAAATCCAGATCCCATGCTGCTGAATCACAAAAGCACAGGTTGGAGGGGGTCACAGTGGTCATCTGGTCCAGCCTCCCTGCTCTGCCATCCCAGAGCACATTGCACAGGACTGTGTGAGACAGTTCTCGAATATCCCCAACGAGGGAGACTCCTTGGCTTCTCTGGGCAATCTGTCCCCGGGCTCAGTCACACTCACAGTGAAGAGGTTCTTCCTGGTGTTCCTGGTGTGGTGTTTCCTGTGCATCAGTTTCTGCCTGTTGCCTCTTGTCCTGTCGTGTGGCACTGGTGAGAAAAGCCTCGGACACCCTCCCCTCAGAGGCACACAGGTGTTGAAGAGATCCGCTCTCAGTCATCTCAAGGTGAACAGCCCCATCTCCCTCAGCCTTCTTTGTAAGAGACACCCAGGGGTTTGCAGCCTGTATAGAAGGTCAGTACCACTGTTAGGGTCTTCACAAAGATCTATTTGTTGTGTAAGATAGCGCTCAGCCTTGTACAAGTATGGGATCGTTGTCTTTTCCATTCAAGTATTCCAGGAAAAGTGATTTGCTACTTCTGTAGCAGTCATGCTGAAGAAATCTGTGTTTGTAAATCTAGTGAAAATATTTAATTCACTTTCAAATACTGAAGTGCAATTCCCACTGGGAATGGAATGGAATGGAATGGAATGGAATGGAATGGAATGGAATGGAATGGAATGGAATGGAATGGAATGGAATGGAATGGAATGGAATAGACTCTCCACTGGCTTTGTAGATCTTGTCATGAATATTTGCAATGTCCATTGCCTTTCTTAAAGGTTTTCTCTTTTTTAAAAGTGCATTTTCAAACAAATAAGAGATAATTTAAAAAAGGACAAAAAGTTCTGAATTTGTGCAGCTGTTAGGCAGAGATAAGATAAATTTAGTAACATTGACCTTCTCAAGTGAACAATGCAGTGGCTATGCTTTTGGATAGTTTTATCTATACCAGTGAATAACTGTTGTCACATATAACAGTACTTAAAGACTATCTTCCTGCCAAAAATAAACCCTGAAACTGACAGATTTAAAAGATTGTTTCTTTGAAATTAAAAGAAGGTGAAATAATTAAAGTTACAACTAGTTAGCTCCATCTTTGTGAAAAAAGGAAGAGAGAATTTGAATAGTTGACATAAACAAGACCAGCTAAAGGGAATGCAAAAGTCTTAGTCTGAACTTTGAATTGAAGGATTATTTATACCAAATAATTTCCATATTCAGCTGACCAGCTTGTGATTTCTTGGCAGTTCTAAGTGACCAGATCATGTCTTGGTGCTTTTATTTAAATTATTTATGAGTCAGATATATTACTTAGACAAGCTTTGAACCCTTTGAATGCTTACCTGACAACTGTCCCTAAAAGTTGTCTGTCCTGTAAACCTGCACCATCTTAGATCATTTAAATGGGTCTGGAGAAACCCACACAAGGATTCAACTGACCAGACAGGTTAACACCTCAGCAGAAACTCAGTGATGCTCCTACGTCACTACTTAGTTTCAGCCTAACACAGGAATTATGTTTATTTTTCTGGGACAAAAATTTTTGTACTCTCTCAGCCAGAAATAAAATATCGTAGAGGCATAGCTTCAGGAAAGACAGTCCAAAGGATATTTCTGAAAATAATCCAGACATGATCAAGATTTTTACAAATTGTAGTTTACATGGTACATGTACCAAGTCACTAAGGAATGGAGGAAGTGGTGAGACTGAAGGAGAAAAGAGCTATGTGCAGGGCTTTTAGATTGATTTATTTCTTCCTGGTAATCTTTCTTTTTCTCACACATTGGTCAGTAAATGTAAAATGATGTCTGAACAGACACTCTTGAGAAGTTAGCAAAGCATTATCCCAATCACAAACCAAGATGGATGCTACCATCATTTGTTCCTATGATATCTGACTGGAAGGAAGTTTTTTCAGGTGTTATTTTGCTGTGCAGGAATAAAGCACAGAAGGCAATCAGAATTTCTCTAATCCTGGTGCTATTTATGCATGATTTCTTCCCAGCTGCATTTATTGCACTTCCAAGATTGATGGGCTAGCAATGGTAGGAAGTTTTCGGAATACTATTCCTGATTACAGTAAGAAAAATGGTGATAGACTCTCCTCTCCTCTCCTCTCCTCTCCTCTCCTCTCCTCTCCTCTCCT